GAGGCTGAGGCAGGAGACTCGCTTGAGCCCAAGAGTTGGAGGTTGCTGTGAGCATGATGCCATGGCACTCTACCCAGGGGGATAGCTTGAGGCTCCGTCTCAAAAAAAAGAAAGAAATATATTTGTGGGTCTTTCCGCAAATGATAACAGGTAACAACAAAACAGCCAGTGTTTAATAGTGCATTCTGTTTAATAATTTAGAAAATACAAATGAAGAAAAAAGATAACCTAAACAAAAATCATTTATCGTCCTATTATTCGGAAATAAAAATCAAAATGTTAATAATTGGTATTCTTTGATATTTTCCTATACATACACTTAACAGTTTTTTAAATTTATTTGATTTTATTTTTACTTAACAGTTATTTTAACCTGCTTTTTTACAGTTAACTTTATTGTGAACACTTTTTAATGAGTGATTCTTTATCAATCCTTTTCAAAATCGAAAGACATATATCGCATTGGATCATACTTCAATGATACTTTTGTGAGGAACATGATAATGTGGTCCAGATGCATTCTGAGAGTTCAGATAGGAATTAGATGCTTTCATTGACTATAAAAAACAATGTTGTTGCCTTTTAAAATGAAGACTCTTTTAATCAAAGAATTATATGCCATAATCTCTTCTTTTTATTTAACTTGTAGGATTTTTATTTAATTACCGTAAGTTAGAATTGCTTGAAATAGGGAGCCAGTAGAATTATAAAGCTTTGAATGGCTTTTTCAGTGATTTGGCTACCTTCATGTCACTCAGTTGTATCTTTAATTGTTTGACTTCTTATCTTTTAAGGGGCTATCAAGAGGGGATACAGTCTAAGGTTTTTTGTTTGTTTGGTGCTTTTTATTTATTTTGAGTAGTGCAAAGTCATGTCACCCACAGAACTTTTAGTCTGCTATTCCTAGGAGACTGTCTTAAGAGAACAATCTCAATTTTATTATAATTAATTGCTGAAGGAAATGGAGTATATTGAATGTATGAAAATGTTAGAACACCACTATGCATGCAACTGCTGTTTTGCCAGGATATAATGCAACTGTCCTGGCCTATGGGCAGACTGGGTCTGGAAAAACCTATTCGATGGGAGGTGCATACACTGCAGAACAAGAAAATGAGCCAACAGTTGGGGTCATTCCTAGGGTAATACAACTACTCTTCAAAGAAGTTGATAAAAGGAGTGACTTTGAATTTACTCTGAAAGTGTCTTACTTGGAGGTAAGTGATTTATTTTTAATTATTATGAATTCAAAATTATCTTTACAGAAAAATTCAACTCAGATTTTTTCCTGGCATGACTCAAATTGTAAATTGCATTTTTAATAAATTGATAGAGAAAACTTATTGGCTCAGTTAGATCTGGCTCCCATGGAATTCTTTCCTTGCTGTTAGAATAGTTTCTTTAATCTGATTATTAAAGGAATCTTGTTAAATGGCACTGCCATTTAAAAAGATGATATAAATTCTTTAATTCTAGTTTTTCTCTATTACTGATTCCCTATAGAGTCCACAGAAAAGTGTTTGATTTCCCTTTACTGTTTTGATGCTTAAATGATAATGCTGCTGCCTCATGAAGAATGTTATAAAAACCAAGTGAAATGTTAGGCTGTGTAAGTGGTGATAGAGTGTGTTAATTCAGCAGATATTTATTGAGCACCTACTGTGTGCCAGGCCCTATGCTAGGCACTTGGATATATCAGGTACTTGCGATTTATCAGTAAATAAAACAGATTAAATTAGGAAATTTAACTTTGTGGGAGTTTATGTGTTAGTATGTATATTAGTAGGCAAGTAGACTGGCCAGTTATATCTAATCTCATGACACCAAAAACATCTTTAGAGAACTAATGGCTTCTGGAAAACTAGCTGGTTAGTTCTATAGCATTTATATCTTTAAGGAAGAATAATAAAACTGGTACAATTTAAGCATGCAATTATAAATTATGTGTGAATACTTCATCCTGAAGTTGAATCTCAATGTGTTAGTAGGTATTAGAGGTGTAGAATTAGAAGAGTGAAAGTTAACAGCATTAGATTAGCTTTCTTGAGTCTCTTCATTAACCTAGTCGCAGCCAAGGTAAACAAATACAAAAATAACTTGGGCTTGGCGCCTGTGGCTCAAGTGGCTAAGGCACCAGCCACATATACCTAAGGTGCCGGGTTCGAATCCAGCCCAGGCCTGCCAAACAACAATGATGGCTGGAACCAAAAAATAGCCAGGCGTTGTGGTGGGCGCCTGTAGTCCCAGCTACTTGGGAGGTGGAGGCAGGAGACTTGCTTGAGCCCAGGAGTTGGAGGTTGCTGTGAGCCATGATGCCACGGCATTCTACCCAGGGCGACAGCTTGAGGCTCTGTCTCAAAAAATAAATAAATAACTTGGGAAATTGGTATGTTAAATAATGACGCCAATAGCAATGGCAAATATACTACTTAAATATGTGCTTAAGCACTGTTCTAAGTATCTAAAGTTATGCTTACTGTTTAAATATTAGTTGCTACTTCTCCTTTTTGCACCTTCATCCCCCCCACCTAAGGACCCATTATTCACATTTTAATAAGATTGGTGAATGTGATGGTATTAGGACACCATCAAAGAACTGAATTTGGGTACTTGTGTTATTTTACATGTGTTCTATTTTTAAGAAACTCTAAGAGAGCCGTTTCAATTGTGTTACAAGTGATATGTGAATTCATTCTTGTAGCATATCAAATGATTATTTAGGCTCGGCGCCTGTGGCTCAAGTGGCTAAGGCACCAGCCACATACACTTAAGGTGGCAGGTTTGAATCCAGCGCTGGCCCGCCAAAACAACAGTGACGGCTGCAACCAAAAAATAGCTGGGCATTCTGGTGGCGCCTGTGGTTCCAGCTACTTGGGAGGCTGAGGCAGGAGACTCGCTTGATCCCAGGAGTTGGAGGTTGCTGTGACCTGTGATGTCACAGCACTCTACCCAGGGGGATAGCTTGAGGCTCTGTCTCAAAAAAAAAAAAATGATTACTTACAGGGTTAAAGGCCTTTTCTTCATTCTAAAAATAATACATATTCATTGTAAACAAATTTTTAAATACAAAAAGTCACAAGAAAGTTTAAATTATCTGTATTGTGCTTATGGCTCAGTGGATAGGATGCCTGCCCCATATCCCGAGGGTGGTAGGTTCAAACCCAGCCCCAGCCAAACTGCAACAAAAAAATAGCCAGGTGTTGTGGCGGGTGCCTGTGGTCCCAATTACTCAGGAGGTTGAGGCAAGAGAATCGCCTAAGCCCAGGAGTTGGAGGTTGCTGTGAGCTGTATGATGGCCAGGGCACTCTACCGAGGGTGATAAAGTGAGACTCTGTCTCTACAAAAAAAAAAAAAAAAGTTTTAAATTACCTATGACTCCACTACCCAGAGATTGCCACTGTTAACATCTTGATTTGCCACTTTATTTTTAATAATGCCAGATTTATAATGAAGAAATTTTGGATCTTCTATGCCCGTCTCGTGAGAAAACCCCTCAAATAAATATACGGGAGGATCCTAAGGAAGGCATAAAGGTATGTTTGTCTCTTATTTCATGTTATTAAAAATTGTTGGCAGCATCCCTTTTATTTGCCACTGTAGTTATAAATGGCTGCTAATATCTTAGATGTCTTTCAGGTTTTATGTGATGCCTCTGTTAATCTAGAGGGGAGATCTAGTGGGAAAGGAAGGCTGCATATTTAATTTCGTC